GTGATGGGGGGAGCCTGGCACCGCAAATACAGATGGTTCCCCCATGCAGGTGATGGGGGGAGCCTGGCACCGCAGATACTGATGTTCCCCCGTGCAGGTGCCGGAAACGAGGGGCTTCCTTGGGTTCAGGTCTGCCTGTGATAATTACCAGGTTGGTTTCTGCTTAAGCCGACAGTCACAGGGCCCCATCCCGCCCGTCTCTGCACAGCTTGTTGTCTTAGGCGCTCAGATGTGATCCCCAGGGGCATCGTTCCTGGGGGAAGCTGCCGAGTGCTCCTCAGCAGCCAGGTGGGGCCTCTGTGTCCTTGCCTTGCTGTCCTGGGCCCCACAGGCACCGATTTGAAAGAGGCTGCAGCCACAGTCATGAGAAAGGCCCCTTAGAGGAGGCTCTGGGAGAGCCCGCGGCGCTGAGCCGGAAATGGGTGGAGACCCTGGGAGAGCCCATGGCCCTGAAGTGGGTAGAGGAGGCCCTCGGAGAGCCCCCCAGCGCTGATCTGGACAGGGGACAGGGGGCTGCTTTTCCTCCTCCCTTCCCCGACCTCCGCGGCTGCTGCTTCTCCATGTACCCACTAGGCCTCCCACGCAGGGCACCCGCAGGCCTGTGCTGGGCCTCGTCGCGGCAGCAGGGGCTGAGTCACCGCAGTGCTCTTGATCACATGACTGCAGAAGCACCGCAGCTCTGAGAAGGAGACCTTGCCACAGGGGTTTTGAGATGGGCGTGTGGTGAAGCGGAGGTGCCTTTTGCGGCCAGCTGGGCCTGTGGCAGGCTGGGCCCGGTTCCCTTTGTGCTGCCGCTCGAGACCAGCCCCGGAGCCTCAGGAGTGGACACGTGGTGGGCCACGGCCTCCGGGAGAGAACAAGCAGCCACGAGGACCGGGCTGGAAATGCCCGGGGCTCCCGTGCTGCGGCAGACACGCGACTCCTTAGGAGCACTGTCAGCACTGGGCATCCGGAAGCTGCGGGAGAGCCGGCTGCGTGCATGCGTGCGTGATGGGGCAGTGTGTGTGTGCATGCGTGTGTGACGGGGCAGTGTGTATGTGTGTGTGTGATGGGGCAGTGTGTGTGTGCATGCGTGTGTGACGGGGCAGTGTGTGTGCGCATGTGTGTGTGTGATGGAGCAGTGCGTGCGTGATGGGGTAGTGTGTGTGTGCACGTGAGTCATGGGGCAGTGTGTGTGTGATGGGGCAGTGCGTACGTGATGTTGGGGCAGTGTGTGTGTGCGTGTGTGTGATGGGGCACTGTGTGCATGAGTGTGATGGGGTAGTGTGTGTGTGCATGCGTGTGTCTGTGATGGGGTAGTACGTGCGTGATGGGGCAGTGTGTGTGTGATGGGGTCCTGCGTGCGTGATGGGGCAATGTGTGTGTGTGCACGTGTGAGTGATGGGGCAGTGTGTGTGTGCATGCCTCTGTGTGTGTGTGATGGGGTGGTGTGTGCATGATGGGGCAATGTGTATGTGTGTGTGCATGTGAGTGATGGGGCAGTGTGTGTGTGCATGCCTGTGTGATAGGGCAGTGCACGCGTGATGTTGGGGCAGTGTGTGTGTGTGTGTGTGCGTGTGTGTGTGTGTGAGATAGGGCAGTGTATGTGTGTGTGCATGTGTGTGTATGATGGGGCAGTGTGTGTGTGATAGGGCAGTGCGTGTGTGATGGGGCAGTGTGTGTGTGTGATTGGGCAGTGCACATGTGATGGTGGGGCAGCATGTGCATGCATGTGTGTGTTGGGGCAGTGTGTGCATGCATGTGTGTGTGTGATGGGGCAGTGAGTGCATCATGGGGCAGTGTGTGTGCATTCGTGTTATGTGTGATGGAGCAGTGCATGCGTGATGTTGGGGCAGTGTGTGTGCATGCATGACTGATGGGATACTGCATGCATGATGGGGCAGTATGTGTGTGTGAGTGGTGGGGCAGTGTGTGTGTGCATGTGATGGGGCAGTGTGTGTGCATGCGTGTGATGGGGCAATGTGTGTGCATGCGTGTGTGATGGGGCAGTGTGTGTGCGTGTATGTGTGTGATGGGGCAGTGTGTGTGCATGCGTGTGTGTGATGGGGCAGTATGTGTGTGCATGTGAGTGATGGAGCAGTGTGTGTGCGCATGTGTGTGATGGGGCAGTGTGTGTGCATGCGTGTGTGATGGGGCAGTGTGTGTGCATGTGTGTGTGATGGGGCAGTGCATGTGCACGTGCATGTGTGATGGGGCAGTGTGTGCATGTGTGTGTGTGTGATGGGGCAGTGTGTGCATGCGTGTGTGAGTGATGGGGCAGTGCATGTGCGTGTGTGCATGATGGGGCAGTGTATGTGATGGGGCAGTGTGTGTGTGACGTTGGGGCGGTGTGTGCGTGCGTGCGTGATGGGGCAGTGTGTGTGCACGTGTGTGTGATGGAGCAGTGTATGCGTGATGTCGGGCAGAGTGTGTGCATGTGTATGTGTGTGATGAAGTGCGTGCATGATGGGGCAGTGTGCGTGTGTCCATATGTGTATGTGTGTGATGGGGCAGTGTGTGAGTGATGGGGCGGGGTGTGTGTGTGTGTGTGTGTGTGTGTGTATTGTTTGGCAATGAGCATATCTGAAAAGCCCTGGGGAAAGCCAGCTCTGTGTGTGTGTGTGTGTGTGTGTGTGTGTGTGTGTGTGTGTGTGTGTGTTGTCCAGCACTGAGCATTTCTGAAAAGCTCCGGAGAGAGCCAGCTGCATGTGCGTGTGTGTGTGATGTTGGGGCAGAGTGTGCATGTGTGGGGGGGTGCGTGTGTGTGTTGTCTGGCCCTGAGCGTTTCTGAAAAGCCCTGGGGAGAGCCAGCTGCATGTGCGTGTGTGTGTGATGTTTGGGCAATGTGTATGTGTGCGTGTGTGTGTTGTCTGGCCCTGAGCATTTCTGAAAAGCCCCGGGGAGAGCCAGCTGCATGTGCGTGTGTGTGTGATGTTTGGGCAACGTGTATGTGTGCATGTGTGTGTTGTCTGGCCCTGAGCGTTTCTGAAAAGCCCCGGGGAGAGCCAGCTGCATGTGCGTGTGTGTGTGATGTTTGGGCAACGTGTATGTGTGCGTGTGTGTGTTGTCTGGCCCTGAGCGTTTCTGAAAAGCCCCGGGGAGAGCCAGCTGCATGTGCGTGTGTGATGTCGGAGCAGTGACCATCCTTGAGGACCCGCCCCCAACACAGCCACCTTCATCTCCAAGGTATGAACGTAATGGACACGTTGACTCCTCTCAAAGGCAGCCCTGCCGCGCGCCCGCTGTGACGGTTGCTGCAGTAGGGTATGAAACACCAGGGCCATGTAAAGGAAAATGTCAGTGGAGCAAATTGCTGATCGAATGCCTTGGAATCTGTAAATACTAAATTGCTCTGGCTTTCACTCGGGCAGCCCGAGAGGAGAGGCGTCTGGAATGTGCTGGGGGCTGGGTGGGGAGCGGCTGCCAGTGGAGAGACAGAGGTGCCTGAAGGCTGAGGCTGAGGCTGCCTCTGTGGGCTGTGGTTGTGGGTGTCATCATGCTGGAGGAGAAGCTATAGGGAGTAGGGTAGAAAAAGCAGGGAGGTGGGAGGTGGAAAAGTCACCTGCAGCTGTGACCACAGGGTTTTCTCTGAGTTTTTATTGAAGGCTTTTTGGTTGGGGTTACGTGTGGCTTGCAGGCAAGCTTTCTGTGACTCTTCTTCCCCAGCCCTGGGGAGGGGAGCGAGGAGAGCTGGGGTGCACACGGTGGGGGCTGCAGTCAGCCAGCCGCCGCCTCTGAGTCTCCTGTGTGGCAGCCTCAGTCTCTTCCTTGCACTGACCCTGCGCTCACCATGGCCGGCCAAGGACTCCTCTCCTTGGTGACTTTGTGCTCCCATGTGGCCGTAGCAGGTCCACTGCATGGTCGCTGCTCCACCTCTGTTCCAGGCTTTGAGCCCCTGCCGCTAGGGACGGTCTCCTGTGCCTTTGGGGTCTCTCTAGGAGGCTGGCAGTGATCAGTTCCTCTGATGTGACAAGACCCTGTGCTAGGTTCTTTATTATTTATTTATTTATTTATTTATTTATTTATTTTTTGAGACGGAGTTTCGCCCTTGTTACCCAGGCTGGAGTGCAATGGCGCGATCTTGGCTCACCGCAACCTCCGCCTCCCGGGTTCAGGCAATTCTCCTGCCTCAGCCTCCTGAGTAGCTGGGATTACAGGCATGTGCCACCATGCCCAGCTGTTTTGTATTTTTAGTAGAGACGGGGTTTCACCATGTTGACCAGGATGGTCTCGATCTCTTGACCTCGTGATCCACCCGCCTCGGCCTCCCAAAGTGCTGGGATTACAGGCTTGAGCCACCGCGCCCGGCCTTCTTTATTATTTATTTATTTTTGAGACAGAGTCTTGCTCTGTCACCCAGGCTAGGGTGTAGTTGTGTCATCTTGGCTCACTACAATCTCCACTTCCTGGGTTCAAGCGATTCTCCTGCGTCAGCCTCCCAAGTAGCTGGCATTACAGGCATGTGCCACCACACCTGGCTAACATTTGTATTTTTAGTAGAGATGGGGTTTCACCAGCCTGGCTTGTTGAACCTGTTGACCAAGCTGGTCTCAAACTCCTGACCTCAAATGATCCGCTCACCTCAGCCTCCCAAACTAGTGTAAGTTCTTTAAACGGGTGAAGTCACTGATCTTTCAGTAATGGAGTAAGGTAGAAACTACAGCACATTTATCAGGTCGCAGCTGAGGCTCCTGAGGCCCCGAAAGGCAAAGGTGACGGGTGACAGGCAGACCTGAGGGAGTGCCATGGCTGCCCCTGGCCAGACCAGGATTCTCCCCAGGCTTTGTGACTGTAGACCTGGACTCTTCATTGTGAGCCTGTCCCGGATCTTCCATGTGCTCCACTGCTGTAGGTGGGACCCTGGGCTGGACCTGCCCCTCCTGCCAGGCAGGGCCTGCCTCCCCCAGGCCAACGGCCTCGCACCCTCCCTCCCTCAAAGGCATCCCCACAGACCCACTCCTCCTGCCAGGCAGGGCCCGCCTCGCCGAGGCCAGCAGCCACACACCCTCTCTCCCTTGCAGGCATCCCCACGCTCATCGTCCTGGATCCACAGGGCGAGGTGATCACGCGGCAGGGGCGGGTGGAGGTGCTGAACGACGAAGACTGCCGCGAGTTCCCCTGGCACCCCAAGCCCGTGCTGGAGCTCTCCGACTCCAACTGCTGCCCAGCTCAACGAGGGTCCCTGCCTCGTCCTCTTTGTAGGTATGAAGCTCCCAGGGTGTGGGGACCTGGGCGGGGGGTGGGGCAGGAGGGGCATTGCTTGGGAGGAGCCTGTCCCTGCAGCTTGTCTCTGTGAGGAGCAGTACGGCTGGGCCTTTGTCTCTCCGGGAGCCTTGCTTTTGGCCCCAGTGATTTATTCATGGCGGCCCCTGTGGGAGCTGCGGGTGCACTTGCCCTCCTAGCTGCTCCCCAGCTGCCAGCTGGGGAGAACAGGTCAGGTGTAGAGGATGCCCTCGGGGCCCCATGCACAGACCCATTGTTGGAAAGAGGCTGAACACACAGCAGCTGCAGAGGGCTGGACCCCTCTGGCTGAGGCTCCCCGTGGCTGTGGCTGCTGATCCTCTGTGCTCTGATGAGCCGCTCCCTCCCGGCTCCTTCTTCCTCGATGGCACCTCCCAGTCTCCCATCTCACCCAATGTGTTCTTAGCGGGTAATGGCCCAGCCTGGCCAGGAGTGTCCATGCCAGGCTCCCAGTAGTGTGGTGGGATGACCCTCATTCCTTTTGCAAGACCTGGCCTCTGCCTTGGACTTCTCCCTCCAGCAACTCAAAATTACTGTACGATGCTGGGTGCAGTGCCTCATGCCTGTAATCCCAGCACTTTGGGAGGCCGAGGCAGGAGGATGACCTGACGTCAGGGGTTCAAGACTAGCCTGGCCAACATGGTGAAACCCCGTCTCTACTAAAAATATAAAAAAATTAGTCAAGTGTAGTGGTGGGTGCTTATAATCCCAGTTACTCAGGAGGCAGGAGAATCACTTGAACCTGGGAGGCGAAGGCTGCAGTGAGCCAAGATCTCGCCATTGCACTCCAGCCTGGGCGACAGAGCAAGACTCTGTCAAAACTAAACAGCCTCTGAGAAGACCAGAGCCCTCACCCCGTCACTACCAGTTTTTTCCACCATTTTCACTGGGAAGCCGGAGGTCTGAGGTCCTGGCTTCTCATTCTGTGACTGAGAGAAACTCTAGCAGGGCCTCAGGTCCTGGCTTGAGGATGCTCAGCTTCCCCGGGCGTTTGTGAGGAATCCAGGGGAAAGGACTGGGCATCAGGGGCAGTAGCGCTGCTCACTGGGGTGGGTTCCTCGGGTGAGCCTGGTGCAGGAGAGCGCTGTGTGCGAGCTTCGCTGCTGGGACGCGGGGAGAGCGCTGTGTGCGAGCTTTGCTGCTGGGACGTGTGCAGACGCACCTGCACCTGCCGGAAGCAGGATTGGTGTTGGAGGGGAGGTCCGTCTCCATTCTGGGGCTGCCCACGTGGGCGTTGTTGCAGCTCAGGCCCACTTGGCGGGCACTGCTCTATTTGACAAGCCAGCGTTTCTTCCCATCTTTTTTTCTCCTGACCCCCATCATAGATTCTGAGGATGACGGAGAATCCGAGGCAGCCAAGCAGCTGATTCAGCCAATAGCAGAGAAAATCATTGCCAAGTACAAAGCCAAAGAGGAGGAGGCGCCGCTTCTGTTCTTTGTAGCCGGGGAGGTGAGTGTGGAGGGAGGCTTAGCCCCCAGGGCTGGCTCCCAGGGCTGCCTGAAAGGACCCCAGGGTCAGGGTGGCCTGTGCTTCTGAGAGAGCCCACAGACAAATGTGGCAAGAAAAAGAGATCATTCACCCTGGAAAACCGTTTCCTACCCTGCAGCTTCCTCTTCCCGTCCTTCTCGCCTGCTCTGCTTGGAGCCCTCCCCCCAGGGGCTGCTTCGCACCCTGCACTGCTGGGAAAGGCGCCATGGCCGCAGTGTGCTCCACACCCCTCCCTAGGTGCTGGTCACAGCCAGGCCCCTGAGGCCTCATAGGATGCTGCACTAGGGCCTCCTCCCTGCAGAGCGGGCCCATCTCACCATAGGGATCTGGCTGCAGCCACCACTCACCCTGCAGTCACCCCGCCAACCCTGTGAGCACTGAGGCTGGAAATAGCTGCCATTCCCGACCTTTCACCCAGGCTGCCCCTTCGAGGGCTCCAGTGGGGCTGGACCAGGCAGGAGGTGTTTCACAGGGTGAGAAAGTGGGTCTACCCACAAGTGTCCCTTTATCCAGGGCCTGGGACCCCAACCCAGCACCCTGCAGACAGGGCGTCTCTGTGACTCAGCCAGCTCAGTATTGGCACCTGAGCTCCTCCAGTCCTGGGAGCCAGCCTCCTCACATGCTTCACCGCCGCCCACCCTACCCTACCAGCCAACACTGACTGCCCCTGCCCCCTCCCCTCTATCCACCCATCTGTACCTCCAGTTGGTCAGAGCCCTGGGCTAATTTCACACTGTGTTTGGGTCCCAGAAGAGGCTGAGGAGACACCAGACACCCGGAGCCACCCATTTATCCCCTTCCACAGTAGCTGGCCCTGCCCAGCCCCAGGCCCCTCCCAGGCGGCCCCAGTCACCTGCCCAGCCATGCTCACTTGGGTTGGAGGGGAACAGAGAGGCTCACAGGCCCTGCCTTGGGGCCACACCAGCCTCTGCACACAAAGCCCAGCCCCAGGGGAGGCTGTGCCCTATGTAGTAAACTCTAACCCTGCAGAGTGGCTCTGCACAGCAGCCAGGGCTGGGTGCAGGCTGGGGCAGCCTTTAGAGGTGTGTGTGGAAGGAGCACGTGCAGGTGTTCGATAACCCAGGCATGGAGCTACAGTGCTTCTCCCAGGCTGTCTCTTCACTCCTGCCTTCCGGCTGGGAAGAGTTGTCTTCCTGTTTCACAGGGGAGGGAGGCACGGTTCAGGGTGGGTGAGGGGCAGCTCCAGGGCTGTGTGCTGGTAGGAAGGTTCAGGGCAGGTGAGGGATTGCTCCAGGGCTGTTTGCTACTCCTGCCTGGCTGGGCTGGGAGTGCTGTGGTTCATGGACCCCTCAGTCAGCCCGTGTTGGGAGCCATCATCAAATCTACTTCACAGGGGATGAGACTTGGGCCTGGAGAAGGAAGTGACTTGCCAGAGTCATGGGGTAGGCAGGGAGCAGAGAGGCCAGTGGGACTCTGGGAGGCCTCGAGGGTGGCAGGAAGCCTCTGTTGTAACTGAGTGAGTTAGAAGCAAAGCACCACACTCTGAGTTCCAAATTAAGAGTTGTTTATTTGTCGGCCACAGAGAGATGGCTAACACTCAAAATTCTCTTGACCCCGAGGAAGGGGCTTGATTCCCCTTTCTACCTTGATGTAGGTAGGGGAGGGGGAGCCTAGCTGAAGCGGAACTGTACAGAGACAGAAAAGCAGGTTAGATAAGGAGGCTGGTAACCAGGAGCAGGAGGTTTCCAGGATTGCTGGTTGCCAAGGGTATTTCCATACAGTCATCAAGTGGGAGGGTAGCAGGGGGAACTTTCCATACACTCAATCCCCAAGGAGGGTATTCAGAGGAGCAGATAGACTTGCCAAGCAGGGCATGGTTACAGTGGCTACAGGAGCTGTGAACAGTGTGAACCACTCTCAACAGTTCAGAGCTTTGAGTGCAGTGGTTATAGGAGCTGTGAGCAGTGTGAATAACTCTGAACGGTTCAGAGCTATGAATGCAGTGGTTACAGGTGCTGTGAACAGTGTGAATCACTCTCAACAGTTCAGAGCTTTGAGTGCAGTGGTTACAGGAGCTGTGAACAGTGTGAATCACTCTCAACGGTTCAGAGCTTTGAGTGCAGTGGTTACAGGAGCTGTGAACAGTGTGAATCACTCAACGGTTCAGAGCTTTGAGTGCAGTGGTTACAGGAGCTGTGAACAGTGTGAATCACTCTTCATGGTTCAGAGTTTTGAGTGCAGTGGTTACAGGAGCTGTGAACAGTGTGAATCACTCTCAACGGTTCAGAGCTTTGAGTGCAGTGGTTACAGGAGCTGTGAACAGTGTGAATCACTCTTCATGGTTCAGAGTTTTGAGTGCAGTGGTTACAGGAGCTGTGAACAGTGTGAATCACTCTTCATGGTTCAGAGTTTTGAGTGCAGTGGTTACAGGAGCTGTGAACAGTGTGAATCACTCTCAACGGTTCAGAGCTTTGAGTGCAGTGGTTACAGGAGCTGTGAACAGTGTGAATCACTCTTCATGGTTCAGAGTTTTGAGTGCAGCCTGACCCAGTAATGCACCTGAGGGGCCAAGGCACAGAGGGAGAAGCTAAGATGGAGTCAGTCAGGCTAGCAGAAGCTAGGTTATTATACCTAGAGGGCCAGTGCAGTTATTATACGCCGAGGACCCCACGTGGCTGCCGTTCTTCCTGAGCTTCACCTGGGCTTGTGGCCTTGGTGGCATTCCTAGTCCCATTCTGTCATGTTGAGAAGCAAGCCATCATGGAAGAGGGGTAGGCACAGCAGGAAGGCGTCCACAGAGCCCTCCTGAGCCCAGAACTCCAGCCCTGGGTTACCAGGGTGAAGGGCACCCATCTATCCTGTCTTGATCCCATCCCAGTGGCAGGCAGATGTCAGCCCTTATGAGATCTTCGTAGTATTAAAATTCGCCTCTGTGTCCGGCCACGGCGGCTCACCCTGTCATCCCAGCAGTTTGGGAGGCTGAGGCGGGCTGATCACCTGAAGTCAGGAATTCGAGACCAGCCTGGCCAACATGGAGAAACCCCGTCTCTACTAAAAATACAAGGAGTAGCTGGGCATGGTGGCGGGTGCCTGTAATCTCAGCTACTCTGGAGGCAGAGGCAGAATTGCTTGAACCTGGGAGGTGGAGGTTGCAGTGAGCCGAGATTGGCCACCGCACTCTACTTTCCTGTGGTTTGCTGCAGGGAGCCGAGAGGGAGGCAGCACAGTGCTTGGCTTGGTCTGGGCCTCCCAGTGGGACTTAGATGGACGTGTTTGCCAGGTGCCCACGCTCTTTTATTGGCTCACATGGAGGCCTGAACTGGGTAAAGAGTGAAGAGGTGCTGAGTGGCCCTGCAGTGCTGGGAAGTGCTTGCTGCCTCCAGAATGGGGTGAGGGACAGACCCTCACTAACAGCCTTCCTAAGGATTCCTTTTGAGAAAGGACTGTACTTGCCTCAGAAACTGGTTAATTTTATGCCTCCTGCTCCCCACCATGGAAGGTCAGGAATACCCCAAGCCCTTTCTCTACAGGAGGGCTCAGGTGTTTCATTCCCTTCAGAGTATTTACATTTGCAGTGAAACAACCCCAGGGTAGGTTTCCAACTCCAGTTTCTGTTACCCACCAGTGAAAGTCCACAGTGCAAAGATTGGTCTCAGATGGCAGCTCTGGCTCGGTGCAGTGGCTCACGCCTGTAATCCCAGGACTTTCAGAGGCTGAGGTGGGTAGATCACTTGAGCCTAGGAGTTCGAGACCAGCCTGGGCAACATGGCGAAAACCCCCCTCTCCAAAATATGCAAAAACTAGCCAGGCATGGTGGTGCATGCCTGTAGTGCCAGCTACTTGGGAGGATAGCTTGAGCCCAGGAGGTGAGGCTGCAGTGAGCTATGATCGCACCACTGCACTCCAGCCTGGGTGACAGAATGAAACTCTGTCTCCCCGCCAAAAAAGAAAACAAGGTAGTTCCCTTACAAATCCTCTCTCCTTGGATTTCTGTGTTTGCCTTTGTAAGTGCACAAGGCTGTACCTGGTGTTAGGGAAATTGCCCTGGACAGCTGCTGGGCATGCAGGATAAGTGCCAGCTTCCTTCTCAGAGAAGTACAGGGAGGCAGTGTAAACCTGCATGGGCTTCAGCAGCCATGTCTTCTGAACTGGCCAGCTCTGCAGCTCCGGTCCCTCCTGAAACCACAGGGGTGGAGGTTGGAGGACACTGAGCTGTTTCTGTTTAAAACCATTCCAGAGCTGAAGTCCAGATTGGCCTCAGATAACCCACAGTGGGGCTGCAAATCATTGACAGTTGGTTACAAAAATAAACCATCAGAAGCTATGACATTTCTAGGCTGGACGCGGTGGCTCACATCTGTCATCTCAGCACTTTGGGAGGCCAAGGTGGGGGGGGATCACCTGAGGTCGAGTTTGAGACCAGCCTGGCCAACATGGTGAAACCAGGCACCCACTAAAAATGTTAAAAAAAAAAAAATAGCTGGGCATGGTGGCGGGCGCCTGTAATCCCAGCACTTTGGGAGGCGGATCACCTGAGGTCAGGAGTTTGAGACCAGCCTGGCCAACATGCCGAAATCCCGTCTCTACTAAAAATACAGAAATTAGCTGGGAGTGGTGATGGGCGCCTGTAATCCCAGCTACTTGGGAAGCTGAGGCAGGAGAACTGCTTGAACTTGGAAGGCAGAGGTTTCAGTGACCTGAGATTGCACCACTGCACTCCATCTCAAAAAAAAAAAAGGATGTGACATTTCCAAAATGCTGAGGATGTGTTAAAATGGCATTGATGCTAATAAATATGTGAATAACTAAATGCAGATGACTTACCTAGTGGTCTGGGGGGCGGATGCAAAGAGGGAATTTTACAAAACAGCCCCTTCCTCCCAGAGGCAGGGCAGGTCTCTGGTTCCCATGTTGGGCCCCCCTTTCCTCGGGAAAGCCTGTGCTTCAGGGTGAGGGAGCTGCCATGCCTGGGGAGCCAGGCCGGGGGCCTCTCCACCTCCTTTCTTTAAAGCTTGTTGGTTTTCTCTCCCTCCCGCCGACCTCAGGACGACATGACTGACTCCCTGCGAGACTACACCAACCTGCCCGAGGCTGCCCCTTTGCTCACCATCCTGGACATGTCGGCCCGGGCCAAGTATGTGATGGACGTGGAGGAGATCACCCCCGCCATCGTGGAGGCCTTTGTGAATGACTTCCTAGCAGAGAAGCTCAAGCCTGAGCCCATCTAGTGTGGCTGCGGCCTCCTGAGACATTATTTAAAACTCCGCCTTCTCCTCCTCCTCCCCTCCTTCCCTCCGCCCTTGGACCTACCCAGCGTGTCCCGAATCACACAACCCAAGTGTCCAACCTCTCTGTGGTGCCTTGTCTCTGCGTTAAACTCCTCAGCAGCACCCCGGGGTGCAGAATCCAGCAGCAGCAGAATCTGCCATGTTAGGAGGCTCCCGTGTTTGGGAGCATGGGATGGCCCAGCCCGGCCAGAGCAGGGATGGCATCGCTCTCGCAAAGTCAGTAGGGTTTGGTGAAGGCTCTGCCAGGGTCTTCTGGGGCAGAGTGAACGTGGAGGGCCAGTGGCCCAGGGCTCGGGAGCTGACTGTGGCACCAGCACGCACACGCAGCCCCGGACAGCCAGAGGGGAACCGCCGGGTGACACCTGTGTGACGGGAGCCGAGAAAGGGCCTGGGTCTCAGTGGCCTCAGCTTAGAGCTCGGGTGAGAACATCTTTTTCTGAGTGACACAGTCTTTCCAGGTCTGCGGGAAAGCAGCAGCCCATCCACGTGTTCCTGGGCAGGGCATCTCCAAATGCGGAAAGAAGCTTGTGGAGTTTCTTTTGGGTGAGAAAAAAGTGTAGCTAAGGTAATGGTTCATACAGTAACGGCTTGTTTTTATGGAGCTCCCACCTCGTGATGAGAGCTTCTTACTCCTTATCTTTCTTCCTTGACCTTGACCTTCCCCAAGTCTCCACCTGCTCATACAAACAGCTCCTACCATCTTAAAATTTTGTTGACAAATCCCTCTCCTTGGACATCTTCCCAGGAAACTTAGTCCAGGGTTCTTAGAGGAGCAGCTCGGGACCAGCACAGGCCTCTGACTCCACCCAGCTCTGTGCCGGAGGCCACTGAACTCTGCTGAGGTACCCATGCCCACGTTCCATTACCCCATCATTCCCCCCCTTTTTTTCCTTTTTGAGACGGAGTCTTGCTCTGTTGCCCAGACTGGAGTGCAATGGTGCAATCTTGGCTCACTGTAACCTCCGCCCCCAAGGTTCAAGCGATTCTCCTGCCTCAGCCTCACTCGTAGCTGGGATTACAGGCATGTACCACCATGCCCGGCTAATTTTTGCGTTTTTAGTAGAGACGGGGTTTCACCATGTTAGGCTGGTCTGGAACTCCTGACCTCAAGTGATCTATTCATCTGGGCCTCTCAAAGTGCTGGGATTATAGGTGTGAGCCATCGTGCCTGGCCCCCTTTTCTTTTCTAAGCAGAACTACAAAGATGAGAAATTACCAGAAGCCTCGAATTTTCCTGAGCACCAGCAGGAGCTGTGCCGTAGGGTGGAGCGAGGGTGGAGGGCATGGCAGCCGCCAGTGGACCTCGAGGCCCAGGTAGCTTGCCGGCCTCTTAGGGGGCCTGACCTGACACTGAGAGAGAAACAGCAACTCTGTTCTCAGGACTGGGGATGGATGGCTTTGGCCTCAGTCAGGTGTCGGGGACTCAAAACAACTCTGGGCGTTACCCTTGGCTCCACTCAGGACTGCCAACCAAGACTTTATTTGGAAAATCCAGCCCCCACCCCTGAACGAGCTGTTGACACTTGCTCCTTGCTGAATTGGATTGTTGATTTGTAGTTGAGAGGTATAAAGTTAGTTGGCAGTTAGACTTGTGATGTGATGTTGCTGGCCTGAAATGCGATCGCTCAGTAGGAAATAAAGCAGGCATCTCTGGGCCTTTTCCACCACGGGGTCTTTCCTGTCCTTAGTAGCAAAAGGCTTTTTCGCTTGTGCTGTGCTCTGTCGGGTGGGTGGTGGAGGGCAGGGCATAGAGAGCCTCCCATCAGATACCTGGGGACTGTGTATGTGAAGTTCTGAGACCCGCATGACGTAGCTAGTCGTCCGTCGAAACTTCTTGGTGTCCAGCAGCCATGAAGCTCACTTGGATCGCAGTGCCAGACACAGATCCCTGCTGGAGCTCTGGCCACCATCTCTGCCGGTTGGACTTGGCCCTGGACGAAGGGTGAATCCTTAGGTTGCATACCTCATTGTGGACATTCTTACCCACTTCCTCCCTACAGAGGCCAAAGTGCTCTGAACCCCGAGAAAGCCGGCTGGGGAAACATGAGGAATCACACACAGGTCTCCTTGTGGAGAATGGGGCAAGAGTGAGAGACCCCGAAACCCAGCTAGTCGCAGGGCTCGGGACTTCTCTGGGGCTCTTCCAGCGCCTCCCTTAGGGGTCAGGGTGGATGGGAGTCCAAGATGAATGTGGCTGACCGGAATGTGGGCGATGGCAGATTTCTGTCTACGCCCTGTATCATGATGGCCTTGGAAGAAAGGTGGGTTCTCTTAGCAGCTGCTTACCTTTGCGGCAGAAGGAACAGAGTCCAGCGAGGGGTTGCTGTAAGTCATTGCAGCTGGTCTCGACACCAGAATTCCCCTTGCAGAGTGGATTTGTAGGTTCCTTAAGATCCGTGGGGGAGGTGTACTCCAAAGGTTCAGGGTTATACGGTGGCTACTTTGTGGGAAATCATTAGGGAAGAATCGCTTCTGAATGTTGGGGATCGATGGTGAGGGAGATGTAAAGGTCACTGATGCAGGCAGTGTGTGTGGCGTGATAATTCCCACCGAGCAGCTCCAGAGTACCTTGAGATTCTTGTTGCTAATTGGAAGCAGGTTAAACACCAGCTGTGACGGATTCAGGGGCTCCTCCAGCCGACAGGGAACCCATGCCCTGCAGGTGGAGGCCGGGGCAGCTGTCAAAATCCACCCGAGATCCACAGTGACTTCCAGATCCCATCTGCCCATTCTCACAGCAGAGATGAGGGTTATTTTCCTTTTCTTTACTTTTTTTTTTGAGACGGAGCCTCACTCTGTTGCCCAGGCTGGAGTGCAGTGGTGCGATCTCGGCTCACTGCAACCTTCACCTCCTGGGTTCAAGCGATTCTCCTGCCTCAGTCTCCCAAGTAGCTGGGACTACAGGCACGCACCACCACGCCCAGATAATTTTCATATTTTTAGTAGAGACGGGGTTTATCCATGTTGGCCAGGCTGGTCTTGATCTCCCGACCTCAGGTGATCCACCCACCTCAGCCTCCCAAAGTGCTGGGATTACAGGCGTGAGCCACTGCTCCCGGCCTGTTGTTGCTTTTTAACCTGTCTCCCAGCATTAAAAGTCTGTTTAAGAAAAAGGGTGTGTTTTCCACATTGAATTCCTAAATGGGGGAGGAAAAAGTAATTTAAAGAAAAGGGAAAAGCATATGTTTGGGACTGGCACGTCCGGTGACGAAAACCAGCTGCTCTTCCTGAGCGATTGACTTCCTGCTGTCCCTTTCGCCCCTTGGCATGTCCTTGAAGTCACTGATCAGAGCGCAGGGAGCCGGTTCTGTGCTGGCACCGGCCACGCTTCAGACAGTCACTTTCAGCCAGACTGTTTTTCCCTGTTGCCTAATTAAAGACACTGGAAAGCTGTTCTCCCTCCTGCTGCCTTGCTCTAGGACAGCAAACTGAATTCAGCAGCAGTGCAGCCTTAGCAGGATGGGCCCGGGAGCCGATCCGCGGGACCTAAGACGCGGTGGCGCGGCAGGCTCAGGACGAGAACCGCGATGCGTAGGAGGACGTGTGCGTGGAAACCCTGCACGCTGGGAACCGTAGCGCTGGGAGGGCGCCGTTGCCGGGCCAGGCCCATGCATGCCCGCTAGGGCTGGAGCGCCACTGTCGCACACGCTGCGGGTGGCCGTGCCTGTGGGCCCAGAGGTTCTGGAGTTCCGGACTGCCTCCTCCAGCTTCTCTCTGGAGGCTGCTTTGGGAGCCAAGGACTGAGCAGGTGGCCGTGAGCTCAGAAGGATCTTTCTAGTTTGCCCCGAAGCAGCTGAATGAAAGAGGTGCGCGCCAGCCTACAGGCCTCACGGCTGCTGCCAAGGCGGGAGCAGCTGCCTTGCTTCCTCCAGGCTGCTCAAGGGAAAATAAATTGGGAAGAAACAGCTGTTGACAGCTTCATGCTTAGTGCTGGGAATATAACATCAGGGTGTTGCAGGTACATCTATGAGGACATCAAGACAGGTGAGTAGGCCAACTGTCATCTCTCAAGGCATAAGTGTGGCTCACCCCTTCATGCTTTGAAATACTTCCCAAGCCAGAGAATGTGCTGGGAGGTTTGCGTGGAACTGTTGGGTTTCTGTTAATGCATGAAAGCCTCTGTTCCCAGTGTGCAACCCAGAGGCAGAGACAGCCTCTGGTCCGGATTCCTGGGTGCTCACGCCTCACATACATGAGTAAGTCTCCCACATGTGCTAGAACCAGGATACAGCAGGAGACATGACCCTAGGGCCCAGGGCCAAAAAATCAATCTCTCTTGACCGTCAGAGGACACGGAAATCCGTCCCCAGCCAGGGAAGAGCCACTCAGCAGGCTGGTGGTCAGTTGGTGTGCCCCACCCTTGGCCTCTCAGAGGAGCAGGCAGGGAGGCTGAGGCCAGACCTTGCTGCTGCCATCGGCTCCTCCCTCCCGACCTTGTTCCCTTCCTGCATTTTTCTTTTTTTAAGAAGAGTTTCACTCTCGTCACCCAGGCTGGAGTGCAGTGGTGCAGTCTCCACCTCCTGGATTCAAGCAGTTGTCCTGTCTCAGCCTCCTGAGTAGCTGGACTACAGGTGCTCACTAGCACGCTTGGCTAATTTTTGTATTTTTAATAGACGGAGTTTCACCATATTGACCAGGCTGGTCTCAAACTCTTGACCTTAGGTGATCTGCCTGCTTCAGCCTCCCAAAGTGCTGGGAATTACTGGCATGAAGCCACCACAGCCGGCCCCCTTCCTGCATCCTGAGGAAGCAGGAGCCTTGGCTGTGGCCCATACCAGCTCAGGCTGCAACTGAAAAAAGTGGCTTTTCTCTACAAGACAATCCAGGAAGCCGCATTTTGAGTGTGGTAAGAACAGGCCTGACCCCATCCATAAGGTATTGGGGATTCTCCGTCACGCTTGGCCGCCGAGTGTCACCCAGACTTCCTGAGGCTTTCAGGAGGACTTGGATTCACCTGCTGTCTCAGCTGCTAGATTGTAGCATGGCTCCTTAGTTCAGAGACATCAATCATCCTGAGCAGTAAACCAGCTCACCCCTTAACTTGGCTTCCAGCTTATTACAGGTGTGCACTCACTGCACTGATGAAAACGGGAAACACGGCGGGTGCAGTGGGAGGCCC